GACCAGCCTGACCAACAAGGAGAAATCCCGTCTCTACTAAAAATACAAAATTAGCAGGGCGTGGTGTTACACACCTGTAATCCCAGCTACTTGGGTGGCTGAGGCAGGAGAATAGCTTGAACCCAGAAGGCAGAGGTTGCAGTGAGCTGAGATCGTGACATTGCACTCCAGCCTGGGTAACATGAGTGAAACTCCGTCTCAAAAAAAAATAATAATAATAATAATAACTCAGGCTTTATCACACATGTCCTGGGCTCAACGGCCCGCTCACAGCCCCAGCAGGAGCCAGTAACAGCTGCGGCCTCTAGAGGGGGCTGTTCATAACCCGCCACCCCCACCCACCCAAGTGTGCCAGGCACCTGCCCCAGCAGGCGTGTTCCTTGGTGGCCCCTGGCCAACCTGCCTGGTAGGGAAACTGATGCAGGAGGGGGCAGCTGTTGCTCAGAAATCATGGGGGTCATTGGTCTGCTTGCTGGAGGTCTCACCTCCTAGGCATCCACCCCTCCCACAGCCTGCATGGTTCCGGCTGAGGGGCAAAGCCCACCCCCAGCCCCTCCATCTCACTGCAGACTCTCAATGACGAAGCAGCACTTAACGAAGATGTTCTCAGGTGCTTCCTCTGCCAGGATCTAGAGAAGGGGAGCTGCAGGGGTCAGGTCTGGGTCCCATGGCAGGGATATCACCCTCTCCTGCTCAGAGTCTGGGAAAATCTCAGAGCTATGCAAGTGAAGGGAGGTGAAGTGAGTCAGGAATGTTTGTATTACTGATTGCTATGTGAGGGTTCGCAGAGAGTCCCCACCAGCGTCCCATTGCCTGCTCACATGTGCTGAGGCCGGTTCCCCAGGGCATTTCCTGAGGAAAAGGAATCCCCAGGTTACGTGGTGGGAAAGCAAAGCCCAGCCCCACGTAACCCGGTGTTGTTGAGGCCAGACTTGTTCCCTTGGGGCTGCGATGCATGAGCCAGAAGCGGGGGGCACCTACGTTTTGGAGCAGGTTATTCTGCTGGTAGAAGGTCAAGACCGGCTCACACAAGGTGTAGTGCGTCTCCAGATGCTGACGGAGAGCCAGCTCCAAGTCGTCTGCCCTGTGCTCCACCTGGCCCCAGAGCAGCACTCGCCAGACGACCGTCTCCATAGAGCGGTCAAACACCATGACCACACTGGGGGCCTGGCTCACCCAGGAACCCAAACAAGGGGGCCCAGTGAGGAGGGACCTGGCACGGTGGCCCCAGAACCCGGGCTACCCCAGAAACCAGGTTATCTAGTATTACATGGACAGGTATCAAAGAAGCCACCCTGGTCTGTTGT